CGGTGTATAAATTACGATTTTAAATTTTATCGCAAACTATAACTCTCCAATATAGACATCAGAAAAGAAAAAAGAAAATTGTTTCAATTAGAGACCACTAAGTTTTGACATAATTTGAATTGCATGAACTATCAATATAACGATTCCTAACCAGGAAATGGTAAGATGTAATAGAATTTCGTAAACACTTCCTATGAAACATAATCTAAGAGCAATATCAAAAATATAATAAGATGCCATAATATCATGTGGTGAAAAGCTTTACAGAAAAAAAGCACATAAAAGAGCAACTAAGTATCATGACAAGAAAAAGAGATCATCATCCAAAACCAAAGCGATAATGTATGTAAAGATCAAACATACTACTAGTGTCTAACCAATTTATTTGTGGGAATCGAAAGCCATGTACACCTACTTCCTACTTTCAAAAGATTCACCGATTCGATTTTATCACTCACCATGGTTGCACCTGGGACAAAAATTGAGCCCTCCATGATGGCATCTGCGACAACCCCATCGTCGTCCGCCAAGCCCCCGAGCTGGTTGTCCAGGGTGAATACCGATGGGTCCACGGAAGTGATCTCCATTAAACATTGGGAAAGGGTCTCTACGAGGAAATCGAATGCTACTTGTTCTTATGGGAACGTGTCGTACCCTATGCCTCCAAAAAGTAGCAAATTTTTCCTTCCAATTAACCGACTCACCCGCTTCTGTCACAACAATGTTCTTAGCTTCTTTCAAACACTTCTGTTTCCATAAGTCATTGTCTGAAGCCAGATATCTCATTTCTGTACAAAGGCAAGCCATCTTTGCAACACTCGTGCCAGGAAGCGACTCTAGTATCTTCAGCTTTAGCTCTGTTGGTAGAAGCATCAAGCATGGTGGAGGTTCCAAACCCGCCTTATCACAAAGACGAATCAACAACGGAATAGCAAGACCATCTTTTACCATTCTCCAGAACACAAACACGTCGCGGTAGTAACTCGAAGTGCCTTGTTTTTCAAACTTCAAATTGTCCATAACCGACTCGATAACGTCAACAAACTTATCCTTATCAAGATAAACCCAGGGCACACGCTGATTAGACCCGCTTAGAGATCCGTAAACTACAACCACACGGCCTAAGCTCTGAAACTGCACAGTAACAGACTCCACATGGGTAACTAGCTCCGGCAGAGTATAGCTTAGGGATACAGAGAGCAACTCATTCGAAAAGCTAAACTTATCAGAGCCAGGATCCAACAGCAAAAACCCAGATTCTAACATAACAGCATGAACTGACATAGCCAAGAGAGTCAATTCACTGGTATCACCAGATTTCTCAAGCAATATGTTTTTTAAGAAGAATGGTTCGCTTAACCTTTTTCTTCCAGCGGCAGCGATCTCCACATCAAGCTCCTCAACATCCATCGTCTCTGGACCCTCAGTGATCTCCGTCGATCCTTCGGCTGGGTCGGGATTTAGATCCGCTTTTGCTTGATCGGAGACAACAACATCGGCCTCTGCGAATCCAATACCCATCGAATCGTGAACAAACTTCCTCTCCGATTCTGGACCTTCCAATTTCCCGTCGTCAGTTGGAACTAGACCTTGATTTGCCTCACCCGAAGACGAGGCTAATCCGATCTCCTGAGCCGGTGCAGCAAAAGAAGAGTGATCGAGAGAGTAGTAGATTAGATCACCGGATGTTACACCAAGAGATCGGAGCGTATCCTCCGGCGAAGGCGAGAGGAGCTCGTCCTTGCGATTAAGTGATAGATGAACAGAGAAAGGCTCCGATGAATTGATCCGTCGCCGGAGATCGTGGAGAGTTCCAGTATCGGCGAATTCGAGTTTTAGGGTTTCTCTGGTCTCGTGATGTCTCAACCGCAGCTTCATTTTCGTAATTTTTAACGATCTTCTTGAGCAAGAAAAGCGATATAGATAATATACAGACCCACGGC